CATCTTATTTTTTTTTTTGAAAACTAATTTAAACCTCAACAAAATATGACTGAAACATCAACAAAAAACGGGTAGGGGAGGGGTGCTATTGTGCAAAAGCGGAAAGAGTTAACAATTAAAATGGTCCAAACGAAACGGGCGTCATTTATAAACTGCACAATTATGAAGATTGACCAAGGAACGCCGGGGGGTGTTTCTTTCGGATCCGGCTTGCCTGCTCCCTTCCCATGCTCCCACTTCATCCTACGACTGTCTTTTTTCCTTTTCTCTTTCTAATCTAATCATCTCCCCTCTGATTTTAAGGGGGTGGGGCCGGACCTTATTTTGTTCCAATCAAAACAAGCCACGTATACGGGAGCACGGATGGGCACACGCCGGGGGAGCAGGCAAGTCTCGTCCGTTTCTTTCCTTACTCCATGGAATCGACAAAACTCCAGCACATATAAAGTTAATGACAGCCTACTTTGCCCGAGGGTGTGTTTCTTTTGGTGGGGCCAGGGAGGAGCCTTTTGTGTAAAAGAGGAAAGAAATAACCCTACCCAGGCTGCACGCCTACTTAACTAGAACCACGAGGCTCTCGTCACACAACAGAATTTGCTAACCCCTCCACAAGGCTGCTCTCTCCACAGGAGAACCCCCCACCTCCACCCCCTTTGCATCTGATGGTCCCCGGAAAGCTTCCCTCACCGACCTGCGATCGCGGGCAGAGCAAATCTTATGGTATCTTCAACCACAGAAGCCCTTCGTCACACCGCGGCCACGTTAATCAAGGAAGGCCGTCGGTGGGACCTACTCCTCTTTCCCGTCGCTTTTCGCCGCGTTTGCGCCGAGGAGACGGTGGTCACGCTGGCCCCATGGAGTCGTCGGCGTCGCTTCAAGGTGTGAACACCGCCGCTGGCCAGCTGACTCTTCCGCAGCAAGAGAGGGGTAAGAAGCCAAGGGTGGCCGAAAAGGAGGGCGGGGGCCAGCTGGTCCCCACCGAAACCTTGTTTCGAACCACACCGTGCAGTCAGGGCCTTAGGGCTCGAACGGTGGAGATCTTGGACAGGGCATACGGGCTGAAGGTGTCAGACGAGAATCTGGATGAATTGTGCTACAACAGGTATGTGCACAAAGTCATTTTGCACGGTTGCGTTATATGTCAGTACATCTCCAAGCACTCACTTCTTCTGAGATTCATGCAAATGTATCGCCCACCTAGATGTATAGTACTACTATGTTTCTTGTATCTTTCTTTTTAGTCAAACTGGCATCAACTTTATGTGCCCAAAGTACACTTTCTGTTAGGGAAGGTACACATGCAGCTCTTTCCTCTCTATCTACCCACAGAACAAATCCATAGACTTTATTTCATCATAGACAATTTAAATCTTTTAAACTATAGACTCGTTTGTGAAACTTTTTATATATTTGGACTCCTGGCATCAAGAACTTTAGAACTAGACCAATTCTGGATACATTTCAAACACATTTAAATTTCGACGTTTCACATTTCACATGTGAAATTAACCAATTTCACTAGAAAAAATATGAAACAAACTTATTTCACTAGAAATATGTGAAAACAACTTTTTTCACATATAAAATGTTAACTTGTGAAACTAATTATTTGGAAATGAAGAACATTTTATTTCAAAAGAGCAAAATATGTTATTTCAAAAATTTGCAATTGAAATAGATGTGATTTTTGTGCAACAAGCGAGTGAAAAGTGAACGCACCTTCTGAAAGTGAAAAAAAAAGTGAAATTAAATCTCAACTTGTGGAATAGGAATTTTTGAAATGTGTAACGGTTTATTTTAAAAGAGTGAAATATGTTATTTCAATAATGTGAAATTGAAATAGATGTGATTTTTGCGAAGCACCCCAGTGCAAAGTGAAATGTAGGTTCTGAAAGTTAAAAGTAATATGAAGTGAAATGACAACTTGTGAAACTGACTATTTCAAAATGTGTAAAAGTTTATTTCAAAAGTGTGAAACATGTTATTTATAAAATGTGTAATTGAAATATATGTGATTTTTGTGAAACAAGCCAGAGAAAAATGAAATGTAGGTTCTGAAAGTGGAAACCAGTATGAATCTGAAATATCAACTTGTGAAATCAATTTTTTTCAAAATGTGAGATGGTTTATTTTAAAATAGTGAAATATGTTCTTTCAAAAATGTGCAATTGAAATAGATATGATTTTTCTGAAACACGGTGGAAAGTGAAATGTAAGTTGTGATAGTGAAAAACAACATAAACTAAAATATCAACTTGTGAAAATGATTGAAATCATTTTATTCAAAATGTTTCAAGTGAGTGAAATATGTTTCATGATTTTTCAACTCATTTAAAATGTATTCAAATTCGGTCTTCTTTGAAAGGTCTTTGCGACATGAGTTCAAATATATAAAAAGTTTTGAAATTGGAATATTGGTTTAAAAGATATGAACAATTTAAGTTAGCAAACATAAAATAAATGGATGGGCTTGTTTGGGGGAAGGAAGAGAGAGAATGGCAGCGCATGGATGCAACCGTGATGTACCATCTGACAGAAAAGTATGGGGATCATCTGACATACGCAGAGTGTATTGCAGTGTATTTCATATGAAAAGTCATTCACGGTTATACATTTTCTGGCAGATGAATCTTGAGCACTTAATAAACGGCCAGAGATCTGCCGCTACCTGGCCTTAACGCGCAATTTTCCGTTTTGCAGGTATGTGCAGCGCGCGCAGGAAATCATGTGCCGGGAAGCCAGCGAGCCGGGTTTTCCTTTGGTTGGAGGAAACCCCTTTTCATCAAAAAAGGCTAACGAGCCGGCCGTCTCCGGCCAGCGCGTCGCGGCCAAGATTCCCAAGGGAAAGGAGCCCGTAACACATTATGTACTCGAGTCAGCTGAAGTGCCAGCACCCCACATCAACCTTATCATCGTGAGCGACGACGACGACGAGGAGGAGGAGGAGGCTAACAAGGTCGCCGCTGAGACCAACAAATCCTCCGTGAACATCGTGGATCCTCGTGCGGCAGCAGCTGTGGCGATTGCGCCAGTCCTTCCTGCTGCGACTTCTGCGCCGTCTCCAATTACCCCGGCGGCCGGGATGCCTATGGCCTTTGCAACAGATTCGGCTACCCGTGCTACTTATGGCCATGGCAATGGCGCCGCCGGCGTCTGCGCACGTGGGATCAAAAGGCCACACGCTCATGATGCAACCTTTGCACCGGCTCCGGGCGCGGGGGCGCCAGTGGCCTTTGCACCAGCTCTGGCTACCCCTGCTGCTTCCGATCATGGGAACATGGGCAGGATGGCCCAGGAACTGCAGGACATCGAGGCCGTATCCGCCTCCATGGCCCGGACCCAGACGATATATCGCCGCTCGGTGAGCGCCAGGTCGAACCTGCCACGGTGGGGGTGTCAGAGCCTTCGAACCCCCACGACCCGCTCGGCTCCTGCACATTGCGGTTTGCTGATGAAACGCAACACGACGGGGCCAGCCCCTGCCTATGCTGGTTCCTCATACCGTGCCCCTGCGGCTAACATAAGCAGCTCCGCTCCCGGTTCTTCATCCCGTGCCCCTCCTGCTAAAATCACCAGCTTCGCTCCGGGCTCCTCATTCCGTGCCCTTCCTGCTAACATCAGCAGCTCCGCCCCTCCTGCTAACATCAGCAGCTTCGCTCAGGGCTCCTCATCCCGTGCCCCTCCTGCTAAAATCACCAGCTTCCCTCTGGGCTTCTCATCCCGTGCCCCTCCTGCTAAAATCATCAGCTCTGCTCCGGACTCCTCATTCCATGCC